GATGATGGATGTGGGGACTGGGTGACTAGCTCAAGCCCCCAGCCTCTCCCTCCTCTCTTGACCTCTCTCCTTTTCTTTCTTCTTCTCTTTGCTTTCCTTGTGTTTCCTGAAGGGAATGGGAGAACTTGTAAGTATCTCAGAGTTGTTTTCATACTCTTCCGGGTTGACCAGGGCTGTGGTCACTCCATCATGAATCCCCAATTTGCACTCAGTCGAGCTTAGAGAGGTCTGAGCTTGGTGATTCCTGATTTGCAAGGAACAGGTCTCAGCAGTCCAGTCTGGCTGGGATGGGGAGGGTGACTGAGTCTATCGCTCTCCTCCCCCTCTCCTCGTCTTCCCCCAGGAATCAGTCCAACGTGCGGCGCATGCACACGGCCGTGCGGCTGAATGAGGTGATTGTGAAGAAATCCCGAGAAGCCAAGCTTGTTTTGCTCAACATGCCGGGGCCTCCCCGCAACCGCAACGGTGACGAAAATTGTATCCTTGAGTTAAAATTGGCAGGGTCCCGTTCCGGAAGAAAGGCAAGGGCGAGGGAGATGTGGACTTCTGGGTAGCCAGGTCCTGGCCCTGGGCTGGAGGAGCTGAGCTAGGCTTGCTTCAAGATCAGTACCTTGGACAGGGATGCGGGCACAGGAGTCCCAGGACAGCGGCTTGCTGCCCGATTCCACCACTTGGAGCTGGTCTTTCTCCTTGACGCGTGATCAGATATGGAGTTCCTCGAGGTCCTCACCGAGCACCTGGATCGGGTGATGCTGGTCCGCGGCGGTGGCCGCGAGGTCATCACCATCTACTCCTGAGAGCTAGGACCTGACACCTGGGCCGAGAGCGTCCGGCCCGCGGCCCTGGAGCCCTCGCCGCGCCCCCCCGCCGCTGTCACCGTTTACATACAGACCCTGTGCCCGCGCCCCGGTCCCCTTCCCTGCTGCCTGACGCCCAAGGCCGCGCCCGTTGGGGCTGACCTGGATGGAGAGGACGGCCCCCGTGGCTCCGGTCTGCTGGCCCGGCTGCGCTGCCCTTTTTCTGAGCCCGACCTTGCCCCGCCAGAGGAGACGCTGCAATAAAGGGCGGGAGGAGGCTTGGCCACAGGGGACTCCTGGCCGTCAGCGCGGCCCCTCCCCATCTGGGCGGGACCTGGGCCCGCTCCGACCCCCTGTGGTCCCTGGCGCCGCCCCGGGAGTGCCGGATGGCGGAGACCGCCAGTGGCCCACCGCTAGCTAGTGTCTCCGCTCTCCCTTTCTGCGGAGCGCCGGGGGCCGGTCGGGCCTATACATAGTGTACAGGAGACACCGCGTGTATTTTTAACGTCCCCATATTTATGTGACTAGAAGCGCAACGGACTTCTCTTCTCGCCACCGTGGAGTGCGCCCGCTGGGGCTGAGGCCTCGGGAAGCTGGGTGGTCCTGGACGTTGGAGAGTAAAAGTGCTGTAGGCCCAGGTGGGGGTCTTGGTCCTCGCCCCAGCGCCGCTCTCGCCGCTTAACCCTTGCTGCGCGCCCTTGGCTTCTGACCCTTTGCTCCATCCAGGTTTTTTTAGGAGGAGGTGAGCGAAGGGTCCAACCTGTCTGGACTCGCCTCCCAGCGGAGCATTTCCACTGCGGATGCAGAGACACGCACAGTCTCTTCTCGGCTCTTCTATAAGCTGGGCCAGAACCTGAGAGGTGATCCTAGCCGGGAGAGAAACCTAGAAAGCCCCGCCCCGGTGCCTTCGCAGGGGGAGTAGGCGTCTCTCCGGTCGGCTGCTACCCCTACCCAGAGGCTCCTTGCCAAAGACTGAAATCAGGGAGCTGGATGGCGCCCCCTCCCACTTCCTCCCTGGTCAGGTGAGGGAAGGGGGTGATTTAGTTTAGGAGCCCGACCCACCGGGAAGCCCCATCACTGCCCCTGATATTCATCCCGTCTCCATCTAACAGCTCCGGCAGCCTTGGAGTCTAGGGAGCTGGGCCTTGCGGTCTAGCCTGTAGTTCCGTCTGACAGGCACCCGGGCCGGGGATGGGTCTGGAGTAGCCCCGCGGGTCGCTCTTAACGCTTCCCTGCTTTCCTCCAACCAGGACCCAAGGCCTTTAGCTTCCCCAACTCAAGTGCTAGGCGCTTCCGCTCTATTAGCCCTGCCGGAGGCGCCGGTCCCCAAAGGCGGCGCATTGGCTGGGCTCCCTTCACCCCCAGGGCACTGCATGCTCGTTCCAGCACCACCCGGGACTAGGTACAGTACCTTCAGCCCTTGGGTCCTTCTGACTGCACCACCTCCTTTCCTTTGTGCCCAAGGTAAAGCACTGATGCCGTCCTGATGGGGCCAGATGTGCCTGGGGGCCGGGAGGTGTGAGTTAGGCCCAGGCCTGAGATTTGACAAGGGGCTGGATGGATTCTTCCAGGTACCAGTCAGGAAGTTGGAGGTATCCTGACACCAAGCCCCTCTCCGCCAAAAGACCTAACCCACTGCAAACCATAGCCCTCCTAGGGGGCCTGTGCATTCCTGGGCTGAAGTGGGGAGGCTGAGCAGAAAGCAAAGGGGATTGTATCAACACCAATTAGGGAACCAAAGTTGCACTATTTGAACTCAGACTGTCTGGTTGGCAAGAGCAGTTTCCGTTGATGAAACAAACATACCGCAACCCCCCCCCCTTTTCTGTGCTACATGTGCAATATCTGTTATGAATGTTACAATTCATTCATCACATTATCTTTATAATCACCATAGCTAGATGTCTCATGTCCATTCAAGTGACTTTTATTCTGAGTGCAATATTTCAATAGCCTTGTAGTGATACTAGTGTTGCTTTTGTTTTAGACGATCTATGTGCAGGGCAATGCAATGAAGTGGAAATCCCTTGTAAATAGGAGAGGGTGCACACCAAACCAAGACTATTTATTGCTATTATTACTCTTCTTCTTAGGCCTGCCTTTACTTTTCAGTGTTTCAGTATTCCGCATTTGGCCTCAGTATTATCTTGTGTTCTTTGTGCCAATATGAAAGGAGAGGGCCGGTTCTTTCCTTTGTTGTTGAATGCTCCCATTTAATGCTTTACAGCTTTTACTGTATTAATTTTTTAGACTCCCGTCTGCACAAAACGCAATAAAAATAATTTTATTATACCCTTCATGGCCTGAGTTGTGCTGTGTGGATACCTGAGGGGGGAGAATCAGTGGGTGGACAGAGGGGTATTCAAGATGATCTTCTGGGACCCAACTCTGAACCAGAAACAATGCCCTTTCCTGTGGGCCTCTTATCCTGGATGGACAACGGGCTGGGAAGCAGTAAGGGCCCACTGAGAGCTGCACTAGTATCTTGAAGTATGCAGCTCTTACAAAGAGGCTGGGCTCCCAGCGTTCTGCATATTGGTCACTCACCACTCCTGTCCTGTGTTTGCTCCCCAAGGGTCCTTCTAGCTTGATGAGCATGTGCTTCTACCAACTCCCGGCACAATGGGAGGGAAAGAAAGGGGCAGATGACTGGAGATCAGGTCAGAGGAGTGCCTTCACTCCCACCAGCCATGCCCCAGAAGTGGTTTCTTCATAGTCCCTGTTTTCCCTTCCTGAAATAAGGATAAGCCTGACACACTCAAAAGTCTACCAAAAGAAAACGGTTTAACCAGCATTATAATTAGCCAGTAGGCTTTTACTCTGAGCTGTTATTAAAGCTTCTAACCAGGTGAGCTGCATTAAGAAGTTAGGGTTAAAAACGTTTTGAGGCCTGATCACAGGCTAAAGACAATTGTCAAGGCAGACTGAAAAACCATCAGGGACCGCGCCCCCCACCTTCCCACCATGTGGAATTCCCCAGAAAAGTATTACAGATATTTATACCCAAAAAAAGATGAACACAGCTTTTATTTTTTCATTTTAATTAAAAAGTAATAATTTCATTTTAATAACACAAGAGTTCCAAAGAGGGAAAAAACAAACAAAAACACTATATAACAAAAAATTCTGACATCTGGGGACCTTGTTTTTGAAACTATTGTTTGCTTAGCCAAGGGCAGGGGACTCACAGGGATTCTCAGCTGAAGTCATTGTTTCCCCTTGTCCCTGGCAGGGACCCCTTGAGATCATGAGCCACAGGCTCTAATGAGCTCCTTCCCGAGGGAGCGGGAGGAAGGGCTGTCTCTGGCTCCATTTTAGAGCAGCAGCAAAGACTTGCCCTTCCACCCTTGCACAATTTCATTCTGGCCCAACACTTACGAATGGTCGGTTGCCTGTATCAAAAATATACCCAGCCATCAAAAGTCTGATATCAAAATGGTCCCTGCCCCCTGCTGCTCAGAGAACAGAACAAGAATCTAGATGAAAACAAGAGCTGACTTTTTGGGCCAAAAGCTTGCAACAACCACTGGAAAAAAAATGGGGGTGATTCAACGTCAGCGTCCTGAGGTAGCCTTCTCAGAACTGACTCCACTGGGGGGAGATGCTCAGGGTAAGAGAGAGAGTGGTAGGGCCCAGATTCAGTCTTGACTTAGGGCCCAGATTCAGTCTTGACTTAAGCATCTAGTGACTAGAGCTGTCCAATTCATTGGAGAGCCTCCAATGAAATGCAGAGAGAAAACTCAAATCCAAACACACCACCGCAGCTCAGGCAGTTCTCTCCCCTCCACACCCCCTTGCTCAACACATATGGGCTGGGGTGTGACGCCAGTGTACCTGGCACACACAACCTCCTCCTCCTCCCGGCAGCTTGGGCCAGAGCTCTGGGTTGGGAAGCCTTGGGAAGGTTAAAGATTAAGACATGCTAGCGGGCCGGGCCCTGCTTTCTTCTTCCTTTTCTCACACAAATCTAGCTGACAGAGGGACTGGAGAAACTCATCAAATACAAACTGAGCCCAGACACCCAACTACCCCAGAGAGATTTATTTTCAAAAAAACAATCAAACCAACAAATGCAGACTCTGGAAGGAATAAGCAACAGAGAGCTATTGGCAGAGGAAAGCATGGGGCAGAAACTTAGAACATTTGATGTGGACCTGGATAGTCGCAAAGAACATCTTCCAAACAACTCTATTTAGAACGTAGTAAGTGGGCGGGCGGCCAGGGGATGAGGGGCACAGGAATAGTTAAGAGGTTTAACCTCAGTAATGCCTCTGGTAAGATCCTAAGGGGGCCTGGGGCCGTCCCACCTGTGCTGTGGTCTGGCTAACTAGGTGGGAGAGAGCAGGGCCACTCTGGATCAGGGTATCCAGAGCCTTCTGTACACTTGGATTGTCAAAGTTGATACCTGTGGAAGACACGGGCCTCTGGCTAGCCATGGTGCTGGCAGGTGCCAAGCGACTGGAAGGCTGGCCAAAGAGCCCCTGGGAAGGAGCCCCAGGCCTGGGGCCCATGTTCCGGGCAGATCCTGCCTGTCCCAAAATGCCTGGAGGCTGACTGCCAGAGGCCTGTGATCTTTGCTGAGACTGGCTGTTGACTGCTGTGGAAAAATTTTGGTTCTGAGCGCTCACAGCAGCGACTGAGGGGGATGCAGAGCCGCTATTGGCTGCCACTGAGCCACTATTGAAGAGGCTGAGGATTTTGGCCTGAAGCTCTTGCTGGGAAGTGGAGGCTGCAGCTGGAGTGGGGGTAGCAGAGGGGAGTGCTTGGCCGCTCTGGAGCGTTTGGGAGCTCGACTGTGTCTTCAGTGAGGCACCCGAGGTCGCCCCAAGTGGTTGGCGGGAAATCGTGCCTAGAAGACAGGAGGAGGTGGTAGATGGTTGAAAGTCCTCCTCAAGGGCAGGAGACTTAGCAGCCAATGGAAGAACAATAATCACTGAGTCACATCAATCACATAGTACACAGACGCTAACTTCCCACAGGGGTTACCTTCACGGTATGTGCTGTTGCCTGAAATTGTTTTTTTTAAAGGGCGTACCTACTGGCTATCAGGGGCCAGCAATGATAGTCTAGCCCACCAGCAAGTAACTACAGGGCTCAGAATCCATACCTAAATCTTAGCATATTAGCAGGAATGGCCCATGGGAGAGTCCTTACCCACCCGAAAGAGTACAGGGTCTGCCCACCCTCCCAACAGAGTCTGGGGGTTAGAGAAATGCAGAGTCAGAACTTCACCTCGGCCCTGCCACGTAGCTCACCAGGCAGAGAGTTGGTGCTGCTCCTCATAAGCCGCTCCTTCCGCTCTCGCAGATAGTTGATAATCTTGTCATTCTCTTCGGCAGTGAGGTACCTGTTGTCTGCCAGCAGGTTGATGAGGCTCTGGATGGCTGGAGGGTGCCCCCCACGCACTCCCTCTTCAGGGCCACCTCGCTCCCTTTCCTGCACAATGGCCTCATCAGCCATCTTGGCTGCCTGTCGGGCAACCTCTTCCCGTTCCTTCTCCCGGCACTCATTCTTGTAGCGCTCATAATTTCTGGCCACCAGCACCATGGCATCTGCCTGGGGCATGTTGCGATGCTCTGTGGGAAGAAATAACATGAGTTCTTTTTTCCCCAGGACGGATATGCATGTCCACTGAGCCTTTTCTAACCAGCAAGAAAACGGTTTCAGTGACAAAAAAATCTTGGGACTGGGAAGCGAGTGACAGAAGATGAACTGCGTGGAGAGAGGCAGGAATGCGTACCTTTGTACAGAGTTGGTTCTTTAGGGGGATTCCTAGATCACAGACCTGTAGTAAAACCCAAAGAAACATGACAGCTTCCCACAGATTCAAACAGATCACATGGAGAAGAACCACAGGAGGCAGGCCCAGCAGCCTCTGGTCCAGCAGCAGGAGGCCAAAAAGCCCCTTTGTCAGCCTGCCTCTCCCTCCATGTTCCTCAGGACACTGCTGGCCTGCTGGTTCCGAATCTGTCAGTTCAAATTCCACTGGCCATCAAAGGTCAGGGAATAAGACCTCAATAACCTCCCCTCATTACCCTTGGGCATCATGGTTTCCACAGTGTTGAAAAGCCTCAGAACTTGATATAAGTTTTCACAGACATTGGAAGGACTATTCCTCTGAGAAAACGGCACACCCAGTGGTGCACCCTATGTAGTCTACGGTTACGGGCTAAGTGTTGTGGGTAAAGGGAAGTCTGTCCTGAGGCACACCAAATGCAATAAGAACACCAAGAGGCCAGTCTCAGCATTCTGGGTTCAGAGTACTAAAACGACTTCAGGGCTCAGGAAAGAACCTCAAGGAAGCTACACCGAGCCTTCTGGGAGAGGACTTCCTTTGCTCTCTTCTCTGGAGCACATGCAAACAGTATTTGAAATGTCTGTTACTCCTCTGTCTTCCAATAGAAATAGGAGGGAAGCAAAGATTCCATTACAGTAAGTGTTGTAGGAGCCAGAGGGGCACTAAAGGTAGCTTTCTCCAGCCCCTTTCAGAGACTTCTAGTGGCCTGCTAAAAACTAATGCCATCACCCTGAGAACTGGTAGTTAAACACATGCCAGCACACCTCTGTAACCTCTGAATACACTTAAGTGTGGCATCTCATATAAAAGAAGGCCACAGATAACAAAATGACCATGCAAGGCCCCTGCCGTCTACGTTTAGACCATCTCTGAAATATGGAAGTCATTTGTTTAAAACTTGCTTCTTGTGAGTAATGCATGACAGACCAATGGACTGGTGATTACTGGAATTCTGACCCACTTGGGAATCTGTACCTTGGGGGGTTCCAAACATGATGTTGACTGTGCAAGAACGGTGAATCTGGTGCTGCTGGGTGATGACAATAGCAAAGGGAGACCCTCCCCTGCTAACATCCTCCAAGGCTTGTGACAGTGACACCTCTGTGTTGAGGAAGATCAAGTCCACCACCATGCCTAGGTCTCGCACCTTCCGTCCCACAGATTCCGCATAATCTCTGTAGAAACATACAGGATCCAGGTAAGCATTCCGATCTGGGACCAACTCTTATGTATTCATTATTTCTTCCCTACCAGTTCTACGCTTACAAGGGTGCTCAAATCCTACTGACCAAGTCAGACTCTAAGGATCTAAAAAACTCCATCTTTTCTCCTGGCGCTCAGAATTGCTACAACACGCCCAAGGTCACACAGGAAGTTGCCAGTAACAAAGTATTGAATACCAAGTCTCCCCCTCAATTCTATAGTCTGTCCTCCCTTAACCATCTTGCTGTCTAGGTCTGTGGCACATGGCCTGACTTTGAGGAGGCTATGCAACACAATAAAAAAGCAGAGGCTTTAAAACTAGAAAGATAGGTTTGGACTCCAGCTCTACCATTTAATTTGCGAAGCTGTGAAGCCTTACACAGACCTTACTTCTCACAAACTTCATTTTCTTTACCAATAAAAAAACAGGAATAATATGGCTCATAGTTTCCTTAACTTTGCCGCAATCTAAAACCCTGGAAAGGTCAGCAGTTTGAACTCACAAGCTGCTAAGATAGAGAAGAGATGGGACAGCCTGTTCCATGAAAAATGACCACCTCAGAAGCCCTGTGGGTAGTACTCTGACCTATAGGGCCACTTGGAATTGGAATCAACCCTATGGCAATGGGATGATGTGGATACAGTCAACTGGTATAATTTGTAGTAGTTATGTTCTATAAGAAGGCCTGGCGTAATGCTACGGGTTAATGTGCCGGACTGCAAGGTCAATTTGAACCACGAGGTTGGCAGTTCAAGCACACCCAGCCGCTTCTCAGAATCCCTACAGAAGGTTGCTATGAATCGGGATCGACTTGACAACACTTAACAGCAAACACTTTCTATAAAGTCACTATGGACACTGTTTTGACTACTGTTTCCAGAGGAAATACAAGGATACATTCCTGTGAATATCTCTGATCACAATATATTTTTCATCAACCACTCTGTTTAAAGACACCACGTTAAGGTATGTGGCTGATTCACTAACACTGTATTCACGATCAACAGCACTTGAGCCTGAACAAAGCTAATCCAACACGCATATTTTCTCTATAAGGCAAAGCACAGCCTTCCTGAATTAAGACAACATTTTAGTATTATGCTTGGGATACATATACATACACCAACAAAAAGCACCAAAATGCAAAAAGCATTACCCTAAGCAGACTGCAGAGTCCTGGTGTGGCGCTGTGGGTTAATGCGCCAGACTGCAAAGCCATTTGAACTGCAAGGTCAGCGGTTCAAGCTCACCAGCTGCTCCTTGGAAACCCTATATCCAACTCGATGTCACTTAACAACAACAGACAGACTGCCAAAAGGACACTTGTCCACGGTACCAGAACTGAACCAGGAAGTCAGAGCATCTTCGAGCTCAGCTGGCAACACATGTGCCAAGCAACTTAAAAGAGTTTACACTACTGTGCACAAATCTGTGAATCAGAAAAGTGTCCAAATAACAATTTTGGGGTTGCAAATACCGTTAGTCAAGTAAGAAAATTCACCAATATGGAATGCATGAATGAGGACTGACTGTATTCTACTCACAAAGGACACATTTTTTGTCATTTGCCCAATGAGAGTGTAAACGTCACAACAGGAAGGGGCTGTGTGCATGCTCACCACTATAGCCCCAGTCCTAGTACTTACATTTAGTTGGTCTTAGAAAAAATTTCCACTTGACTATCATGTAACACGATTCTTGGAAGAATTAGAAATAATTTATGCAAAGCACCTAGCATGGGGTAGTACAAGGTAGGTGCTCAGAAAATGATAGCTATTATCAATTGTTAAAACACGCAATCTACAGTTAAAGCTGCATCTGTCCCTGAACAAAGCCGTCCAGAGCCTGTGAACTCTGCCTGCTGCTTGGTGTCTCAACACCTACTTCCCTAGTCACTGCCTTGAAATGAGCTCTTTAGCCCCAAACTGCTAGAAAGTTTGCTAACCACCTGGGGGAAGAGAACAGAGCTCGTGGCAGGTCTGTAAGCTGCTATATACCCGCTCTGCTTCTCTGGTGCCTCTCGAAGGAGAGAACAGAAAACAGGGGAGTGAAATGGTGCTGTGAACTCTGGCTTGACTAACATAGTCATTTAACAGTTCTGGAAGGCCATGACATTTCACCAGACAGGCTTGGCTGACAGAGACAGGGGCCTCCCAAAGTACTGGGATTTGGGCTTGTCCTATGACGGGCATCACTGATTTGCCGAGCCAGCATCCATTCTTTCCTCATTTTGCAGTTAGAAGGCACACTCTCCTACTCATTCTACATGGTTCTACAGGGCTGATCCTCCCCCTAGCTCTAGGGATGGGAACATGACGTAGGCCTGGCCAATCAAGAGCATTCCAGCACCCTTGGTCAATGTGTCTGGTTCAGGAATGGGAAAGTGAGCCACAAGAAACCATTTCAGGAGTTTTGGCGGAAGCACTGGGATAGAGAATCCCTTTCTTTCCACTAGGTTTGCTAGGCTAAGATGATCCTTGTCTAGGGCCAGTGCCTTGCTCCCTCCTTAAACAGAAAGCCTGCCTGGGAATGTCGGCAGCACCAAGGAAAGCAGCCCTCAGAGAATAAGGTCTTGGAGACATGGTTTGACCTTCAGTCTGGCCATGGCTCGATTTCTGTTACATAAATCCCAAATTCCCTTAAGTTTCAGCTGTGCTTTCTGTTACCCACCACTAAAATCACTCTAACTAATGGAGCACACATAGCAGGGCCAAGTTCAGTGGGTAGCGCTGCCATGAGGGAGCCTGTGTTTCTCTTCTTAATCTTCTCCTTCCAGAGAAGAAATATCCCAAAGGTTCTTACTTAGTCTGCTTGTTGACCACAATTACAGAACAATCGACAGGCCTCTCAGCATCAAAGCGTCTCTGAATCTCATCAAAATACTGACGATAAAGTTCTTCTCTACGCCGCTCCTCACGTTTCAAACGCTCTGCAAGACACCACCAGGAAAACAGAAATAAGGACTGTATCCTTCTACATAAACAAGCCACAAGCTTTATTCTGAATCCCAAACTACTTGCAGGCAAGGGTTGCAACAAGTATGTATACGAACCCTCTAATGTTCCCCTGTATGTAAATCCTCTAGAGAAACTCTCGGAGTGCCCACTTCTCTCACCTCAGCCAGTACTGGGGACAATCGTTCTTTTTAAATCCTGCCAATTTGATAGGGGACAAAGCTCCTTCATTATGATTCTAATTTGCATGTTTTGGAAATAGCTTTTTAAGACTTCTACTGACAAGGGTTCATAGTTGTATTTTTGGGGAAAAAAAAAAAAGAAACTAGGTAGCAAAGTTTTACAAGTTAAAATGAAGTTGTAAAACCTCTACACCTGATTAGATAGGACATAATTTAAAAAGATTTAAAGGTGTATTGATAGAAACTCAGCTTTTTTTTTTTTTTTTTCATCAGCTGCTCCTTGGAAACCCTATACAGGATTGCTATGGAAACCAAGCTTTTAAAAATGTGTGTCTTTACGCAAAAATTACATTAAAAAAAAAAAACACAGTCTTTTATTATTACTGCTGGAATTTCATATTTATTTCTTCATGTGGGATAACTAAGCGAGATGATGGTACTAATTTGCATTTAAAAAATTATTTTCAAGATGAAATGTTCTCTACACATTTACAGGTTGTTAGTATTTTTTTGTATGTGAACTGCCTGGCTAAGTCACTAAGTCTTTTTCACACAGGGGTTAGTTTTGCTTTCTTTTTGTTTGTAAAACGTTCTGTGGGTCGTAGGTGTATACTGTTTCTGCTACTTTACCTTTCGCACGAGATTGACTTTCTGGGCCTGGAGGGCCTCGTCCATCAAAGCTATCTCTGTACCGGTCAAAGTAAGAGTCTTCCTTCCTTCTGCCATAGTCGTCCATCCGCACGTATCTGTCGTAAGAGCCTTCTCTCCTGAAAAGTTAAGGACATTTGCGCCAAGTTAAAACTCTGCCTATCCTTCAAAAACCAGACAGAATTTTTCAACATCTGGTTTCCTCTGAGGAAGTAAGCATACTAAGGAATGGAACTTTGAGAGCAGACAAACAGGGCTTTTATTTTATCAGCACTGTGGCTGCAGTTGAGTTACCCTGCCTTACAAAACAACTGGAGGAGAATGAACAAACATGATGTACCTAAAAGTTATTTAGCACAGTCCAGACACATAGTAAATGCAAAATAATCAGTAGTAATGACTGATACTAATTTTGAGGACCAAACCTCATACCCCTTCCGTGTGTTTCTGTAATGTTGCCTTTTACAGGTAGGTCTGATAAGAAACCTAGATTCAGTCACTAAATAAGTAGAATTCACCAGCCATTCACACATTAAGCAAATACTTATTGAGGAGTAAGCACCAACCACTTATAGCTGTTAAGTGCCTCTGAGTCATTTCCAACTCATAGTGAGCCGGTATAGGGTTTCTGAGTTGTAAATCTTACGGCAGCAGAAAGCCTCATCTTTCTCCTGTGGAGTGGCTTCTGGGCTTGAACTGCCAACCTTACGGTTCGTAGAGTCAAGTGCTTCTCCTACACAGTGCTACTGCGCACCCCAATCATTTGATTGTTGTGTTGTTAAGTGCTGTCAAGTCAGTTCCAACTCGGCGACCTGGTATAGGTTTCTGGTGGGTCTGAACTGCCGACCTTGTGGTTGCTAGTCTAGCACTTTTCCTACAGTGTCTCACCAGGACCACTTAACAGACACTGGAAAAATAAGGCTGGCAGTCAGTGTTTTATAGAACCCTTCCAAAAAAAAAGTGGTGAAAATATGTATGTAACAAAACATACACTGTCTCAACTACTTCCACATGCATAATTCATTGACACTGACCACATTCTGTCAGGTGTGCAACCCTTTCTCACTCTTCTTTCCAAATCATTTCATCATTAATAACATAAACTAAATGTTCTATAAAGCACATACTCTCCCTTTTCCTTGTCTCCTACCTCTGGTAACCACTACCATCTGTGGTGTCTATACATTTGCTTATTTTTGGTGAGATCATAAAGTACTTGGTATTTTCCAACTGACTTAATTCACTCAGCATGATTCCTTCAAGGTTCATCTTCAGAGAACTTCTGACTACTTCAGAACACCCAAGAGAAAAGGCTCTTATAAAAAAAAAGAAAAGGCTCTTTGTATGTACCTGTACACAGGTTCTCGGGAGTCTCTCATGTCTCTGTATCTGTCATACACAGGTTCCCGGTGATCTCGATAGTCCCTAGAGTCTCTTAGATCACGGAAGTCTCTAACATCTCTCATGTCCCGAGCATCACGCATGCTTCTGCTGTCTCTGGGGTCTCGCATGTCTCTGCTGTCTCTGTGGTCCCGCATGTCTCTGTGGTCCCGTGCATCCCGGCCATTCCTGCCATCCCTGGGTTCTCTCCTTGGACTTCCTCGAATCGGGGAACGATCATGTCTCGTATCTCGACTGTCTCCGAAGCCATAAGGATCCCTGTGGGAGGGTGCAAGATGTTAAGACAGAGGAATGGAGGAAGGTAGTCAACGCTTCAGATCTTATAAGTTCCCACCCACCAAGTGTTATTATCCCCCCTCCCTTTCCAAAGCAAGGCAGTCAAACAGTGAGAACGTGATTAAAAATTTAAGGACAGTCATCTGGTCAGAAGATAAAAGTTCTAGAATCTCACAAGATGAAGACGGACACCAAAGAAAGAATGCATGCCCAAAGTCAAATGTTCACCTGGCTCCAGGGACTAATCCAGCCTTCCTTATGCACCACGACCAATCATCTCAATTTCAACAGGTTGCAAAGTGAAAGGGCCCCAAACCTACTTTCTCCCACCAGAAATGTTTGAGAGATGTATACAGGGAAAGGATTTGGGGGGTACAGTAAAGGACAAGATTCATGAAAGTTCATTTAATCTGATCAGATTAAGGAGGAAAAAGGGAGAGAAAGCACAATTATGATACACACATACAGTAAAGAATTAAGAGCAATCTGTTTCTCGGTCTTCTCAACACAGCTATTGAGTCTCTGAAGCTGAGGGTCTAGCTAAGAAGCCTGGCTACAGAAAGTTGTGTGTTTCTAAAGAACAGTGCTGGACATCATAGATATACTTGAATTGTTCTGCCTCAATGTTCTCAAGGAGCTCTGATAGTATAGTGGTTACGATTAGGGCTGGCTATCCTCAAAGTCACTGTTCCACTCCCGTAAGCCCTTACAGCCTTGGAAACTCTGTGCAGGGTCTCTATGAGCCAGAACTGACTCCACGGAACATACCAACAACAATGCTCTCCAAGAGACATTCCATCCCACTAGAAACTCATCCCCAACAACATAGTGAAAATTCAACTTCTTCCTCAAATCTAGTAAATTCCATTGCTGGCAAAATTTATCCTGTCAAGTTACCTAGGTTTAAGCTTTTTCCAGTTATCTTTGATTCTTCTTTTCCTATCTCTATTAAGTGATTTCGGTCCTGTTCACCTTTTTTCCATTCCCACTGCATTCCTAAGTGCTTATTTCTATGCTGGTTCCATCACAAGAGTTTCCAAACCAAACAAACGACACAATCAAAACCCAATCTCCCATACTTCAATTCATTCAATACATAAACACCAGAGCAACCATCCTCATGTGCCAATTTCCGGCTACTACAAATTGCACTCGGCCGTCAACCCTCTGGGCACCCCATCCAACAAGCACAGTCCCTTTCCAAGGATAATCTCCCTGGATGAAGTCCTGTGATGAAGCTAAACAGGTTCCAGCAGAACTTCCAGACTAAGACAGAATAGGAAGAAAGGCCTGGCGTTTTACTTCCCCAAACCTAATTTAACCATTGCTAAATGTATAATTCATTAATTACAGAGTTATTTATTCAACCATTCTCTCACCCTTCTGAGTTGTTTCTCCTTCACTATCATCAACTCATCGTCCCCTAAGGTTCCTACCGCTAAAGTAGCTGATCATATATGGACAAATCTTTAAAAGAGCACAATGCTCAGGGCAACCATTTCTTTACTTAGGTGTAAGGTGTTTTTTTGATGGTTAAGGATTATCTTCCTCCATAAAATCTGTCCCGAACCTTTGATCTTTCCCAACAAATAGTACTCCTCTCCTCCAATCCCTTCCATTTCAATAACCGGTTCATCCACCTACTCAATTGTTCAAGCCAGGAAACTGGGGATTGGTCACCCCTCCCTGAAAGTCTCATCCACTCTTGTAGTCACATTTTCAATTTCCAAATTTTGACCTTTCTCTAAAATGGATCAGTTCTACCTACTTTTCTTTGCTGCCATTGGTACCCATAATCATGACTCACCACAACCCAAACAAGCTTTCTACAGTAGTCTCCCCATTTCTGCTCTTGCCTCTGATCTTTTGCCAAAAGATCAATCTAGAGAGATATTTTAAGAACATAAAACCCTTCACTTGTTTCCCACAGTATTTAGATTAAACGCCAGATTTGTATACCAAGATCATATGTAGACCTCGCCATCCTTTCGATGATCCTCCACTCTTTGCCATACTGGCCTTTCAGTTATAACTAGCCAAGGGCTTTCCAAATCCTTCTACTTGAGCAGTAGGTGCAGACCCATACACATTTCCTAGGTCTCAACTTAAGTATCTCTTACTCAAATTATTGCCTGGAATCAGCTGAAAAATTTACTCTGCCCCCAAATCTTGCCACATTCTCTTATACCACTTATGTTTACTTAAGCCATTTATCACAATTTGATGTATTGTTTGTTGAATGTCTGCTTCTCGAACCAACCAGCCTGTAAGCTCTACAAGGACAAGGCAATGTCAACTGATTCGTTACAATAAACCTGCTATGGAAACAATGCCTGCACACAGCTGGTGCTCTGTAAATATACTGAACCAAGGTTGCTACTGTCTATACTTCTGTACTTACTCTATTTCTGCTATTTGTTTATGTGGTTTCCCTACCAGAGATACCTCTTGAAGGCTTTGTATCTCAGGGACAAAGCATGGAGTTAATTAACTAATGGAATTACTCAACTAAACGACAAGCTTCTCAAGAGCAGGCACCATGCTTTGTTGTTACTTCTTTCATCTACCATGTTATCATGTACTTGGCATTTAGCAAGATGCCATTAGTTTGGTAGAACACCTGAATTTTGAACTTCACTTATCTACACAGGCACAGCAAGAGCAATTTAAATGCCAATTTTGTTCTATGAAGAGCTTTGGTCATATGGCATGCCTGATTCATGACAGCAAATACATGGAAGACTAGGAAATTTCAATGCTAATTAACAGCAGTATCCTTTACATGCAGACTAAACATAGTGTTCATGGACAAATACTTAGGATTCAAAGGAAAGGACAACTACAAAGTACTTTTGGATTATTAAAGATTGGCAGACAAACCTGCCTCGGGTGTGGTTAGAAGTAGTTGAAGTAGAATCAGGTTTCCTGTTAGTGACAATCAGGGTTGAGAGAGCTCACTAGTCTAACAGACGAGAGACTCCACCCGCCCCCCCACCCGCCCCACGGGCTGGTGGAACTGGAGCGGGAAGCAGCTACCACCACCAAGCCAGAGCATGTTATTCACAGTCTTAAAGAAATGGTAAATGCCATGTTTGGTTCTCATTCTTCTGAATCCATAAAACCATCCTTACCTGTCAAAGGCCATTGCTTAAGGTCAACTATAACCCTAGATTCCCAAAGTCTGGGTTCATGCTGCCAGGTTGAGACTGGTAAGCCCCCCCCTTCCTCCAACAATTCAAAAACTACTACTTTCCCATCCCCCTCAATTGCCGCCTGGGTAAAAAAATGTAGAAGTGATAATTCAAAAGGGAGAAAAGAACCAAAGGAGTGGAGGAAGCAGGAACAGAGAAGATAATCTTTTCTAAAATGAAAAGGCAAAGCTTTTGTTTTCTCTCATATTAATGAACAGTATGGCAGACTGTTGCTTGTCTGGAGACAAAACAAAACAAAACAACCTTTAGGGTCACTTTAAGACCCAAACAAAGAACTTTTCAGAACAAAAGGGCTCCTGCTGCTGGGCCCCAACATTGTTCTCAAAACATAAACACAGCTAACAAAATGGTAGTACACTAGGCAGGATTCCGAGTGCCACAAGGACAAAGAGGCTTGGCCTCAGAAAGCAGCAGGTCAGCAGCAGGTTCTGGATCAAAACAAGGCTCGCAGCATCATCCATGGCACCAGACATGTAGCACTAAAGGACAGCAGATACATCAATACCCCTACGTACCTGGTCACTAGAGACTAAAACAAACCTTGAATATATCAGTCCCCGGGTTACGAATGAGGTATGTTCATAAACATGTCTTTAAGAATTTGTTTGGTTCTTATTTAGCCATATTTTAGCGCAGGAAAAAAAATCTCAAAGCTTCTCACTTACTAAAAAGCCACGTGTGTGCAGCAAGTGAAGGTGACTGTGATGAATTTGTTGCCTGTTGGTTGTTTCAATATTTTAAAAGTGGGGGTAAATTTACATAACATTAAAGGGCAAGTACAAGTTGTAGAGTTGGACATTCATAATCCAGGAACTGCCTATAGTTAAATAAATTTCAACCCTAAACCCCATAAATTGAAAGCAAACACAACCAAAACTTTGCTGTAAATTCTTCGGCTATTGGGAGGGAGGAAGTAAATATTCTTTGCCTTGGGAGAAATACAGCCACATCATCTGGAAACATTTGAGAGGTTCTGAGGAGATGGGTAAAGGGAAAATGATATGCTTCCGGTAGAACTGCTGCTCTTCCTGGGGACCAGCGGGGTATGTCGATCACTAGGCATTCGTGAGCCTACAGAGTAAAACTGACAGACGATCCTCTTGGAGGACTCGGATGGCCCTGGGAGCTTTTTTTCTGACTACAGACTGAAATCTCAAGCCCAGGAGTACAAGTCAGGGAGAAAGGCTTTTCCTTTTCTTTCTTTTATGCAGGCAGAGGTCAGCATCTTCTCTCTGTTCACCAAAGTATTTTCCATGACAGGGCAAGCCTTTTATGCCTCCACCAGCTCCTTAAAGTTCTGTTGTCAGATTCTGTTCACAATCAGAATGACTGGTTGCTTTGTGATGTTGATCCCCAGGATGGATCCATGCCACCACCAGAAACACAGATTTGTGCAGAAGTTTGTCACTAGAAGCAGGTAGAATATGGGAACAAGATTTTACCTTCAGATACCAGTTCTGTAAGTGTTCATTGCTTTTCTCTGGGAAGCATGTTGATGATTTTTTCAAGCACAAATGTGACTTTCCTGTTTATAGAGCCACCACTGCTGAGAATTGACAACTTCTCCTCAAGTATTAGTGCAGAGATAATCAGAGTCTGAAATCTTCAATTGTGAGGCCCACCTAAAGCCAGACTGTCTTTTACCAAAGGAGAAAGTAGTTACCAAAGAAACCATGGCCCTGTGCATTATAAGTCGAAATCATCTCAATCTGTATATAAGAAACTTTTCAGGTTATTTCTGAAGATCCAATCCCTATCGACTTTCATCAAGCCATCATGCTTAGCACTCTTCACTAATACATGGGGAACACCCTTTGTAGAGCTTTCGATGCAGACAAATCCATTCTATTTGTTCTTCTTAGGTGTAGGAAATACATTAATTTTTGGAGGTTGTGTCTTAGGTTATGCCCCCAAGACCTGGACTGCAAAGGTTGAAGCTGAAGATAAGAACATTTGAGGTACAACCAGAATCATGATCCAACCTCTGATCAAGGTGTAATAACTAATTAAATGCATAGCAGCAATGCTAGACAACTTGCATGGTAACAATACAGTATGCTCATACCAAGTCCAAATGAAGTGGCTCAGGGTTAAATGATGATCCAGTGCAGGGATCCCTGATGCCGAGTCCTGTGCCTAGCTTGGCCAACAGTGTCAGAATTACACATTGACAGCGGAGTCATCAGGGAGGCACATTACTTAACAGAAAGCAAAGCCAGCAGAAATATGGCTTACAGAGACATTTGAAGAGGTGATAATGCTGTGAAAAGTCACAAAAATATGCAGGTGTTTTGACACTCAAGGGTAAAGTCCAGCAAACAAGGTGTTACGAAGGTATTGCCAGCATGCTTAAAAACAATTTTCTTATTAAAAGTAGATAGCACTGAAGATGCAAAATTAACAACGTAAGGGGAATCTGCTATAGGTATACTGCTTTTTCTTGTTAAGAATACATCCCATACACTGGGCACATAAATTATTAGGGTTATAAAAATGAAGGCAGTTTTGTGTTAACAAAATCCCGGTACATTTGGAATGAGCTCAAGGCTTTGAGTGGATGGATATATCCAAAATGAATGACATACACCATTCACCTTCAAAGAAATGATTAGCCTTTCCCAGACTAACCATTCATTAACTATCTTGTCTACTTACATTTTATTCTAGTGCTACTGGCAGGCACATCTTAGAGACAGTTCATGGTTAGGGTAAATGATGAACATGTCAGTGTTCTATTCAAGTATAATGTCTGATTTGTGTGGTTTCAGTGACTTTTTAAAAAAAAGATAAAAAACAAAAAGACAAAACTGGGACTCTGGTCAGATTTTAGATGGGGCCCAGGACATTTTTAGAAAATGTGAACATCCCTCTTCCTTGAAGGACATTAGCAGGTTAAATAACATGCTGAGGAATTCAGTTAGGGACCTACCACCAACGGGAAAAGCAATTCTTACTGAATTGGAATGAACCTAGCTGTCCCCCTGTTGACCGTAAAAAAAGCAGGAAGCCATGCTTTTACCCACAACCCCAAACAACCTCACTTTAGAATTTTTTTCTGATTTTAAAAGGCATTCCTCATCTACCTGATAGGGGCATTAACTCATTTTAAAAAGGATCCTCTCCAAGGTTGTTTGCCTAAATGTTTGTTTTTCCTAGTTATTACCAAAAAAAAAAAGAACAGAAAAGAAACAGGAAGTGATTTTTTCCCTTACAGAAGAAATTATGGACTTGCATTTTAGGTTGGGGTGAAATTAATTTTCTATGTTCAATTTCCTGGCAATAGCTATTTTGATTCCACCAGGTGAGTTAGTTCGTTCTCGAACACTGCCAATGTTTGCTGATTGTCTATATTTAACTGGAAAGTTTAAAGGCATTTGGATAAGTATTATCAATAAGGTGATACACAGTATCCTTCCTGATCCATTACAAAAACAGGAGATACTCTCTACTCTGCAGTGTGTCCAGTGTGCCTGCAGAAACACAAACACTATCTAGAGATCACAATCATCATGGGGACAAGGAGAGGATTTCCTGGTAGAGCCAGGGTCTTTATAGTTACAAATCTTACTCTCCTGCTGGTAAGCCACCTAGATCAGAAACCTAGAGAGTATGCTTTAGAGCACCTGGGAAACCAGACACATGCAGTATCTCCTTTTTTACCATTTAGCCAGAACAGGTTTTCCTGGGAGCTCCATATTTCTGACCACCACATACAAACTCTTAGCCACCTGTCTTCATGTCTATTGTGGCAATGGGAAACAACACAGATGGAACTCCCCAACATCTGCAGCTTGGTTATATGCAACCTAATGGAAGCAGACATCATACGGAACTGTTGAAGTTCAGTAGGATTCACTTACGTTCTTCAGGACACACATACACACCATGGTTTTTACCTATAAGCTGCAAGCATTCTTTATTGTGTTAGAAAAATAGACAAATTACCAGTATATCTGCCTCCTTCTGCAGTGTAACCAGAGACTTGTCTAGAGGATCCATCTGACAGTTGCAGTGTTGCTGTAGTTGCAGTGTCCGACTCCAGCAACATCACTTGTCCCTAGGGCCTGCTTGAATGCTGCAGATCAGACATGTGGTAGCTAGAGCAGACCCACCTTTCATATCTAAGTAGGGACGTACACACCACACATACAACAGCCATTCTTTCTTATTAAGAATGTATGTGTTTCTATCCAAACGTGGGACAGCTATATACCACATGTGTGACCCAGGGAACTATCAGTATAGACTACGATTCAGCAACATTCAGTGCACTGTAGTTTATAGCTTATTGTGGAAAACTTATTTAGGGGCAAAGGCAAAATCCATACTGAGAATCCACTCAGGCAGTGAATAAGAAGTCAGACATGAAATCTCTCTTTCTGCAATCCATACAGAACTGCATACACTGCATCCATGTGTGTTACACCATGGGGCCAGTTTGGATATATTCATATTTGATGGAAATAGCAACATTAATAGGGCTCTTCTTTGTGAGAAGGGGCCAATGTAATGCATGTCTCCAGAGTCTGTTTCAGGATTATCTCTTTCATATATGCTGGGAGGAAAAATATACTGGGAAAATGTACTCTATTTCCAGGAAAGCTAAGAAAAATGGCAACTTCTGAGAAGTGGAATTTTTTGTCCTGCCCCTTTAAAATTTCCCTTTGAACAGGTAACCCAAGCATGCAAAGCACACACGGGCTCTGCAGCACAGCAGCCATCTCTCAAGCAGCACTCTCCGCACACCTGGTTAACATCTGGACCAGCAGCCACTTGGAGCGAAGAGTTGAATCTCTCCTGCGGCTGCAGAGCAGGGTGGCACACACCAATCACCCTGGAGCACTCCTCCTGATGTGGAGGCTCCCATTGACACGTGAGCTGGGGACAGAGGTTTATCCTCTTCCAATTGCCTGCAACTCATGTTGCAAATTGTACTTGCTGTTTTGCCACCGAAACACCACGCTTCCTCTGTATCTCCTGACGTGTATGTGAAAAAGCCGCAAGGCCCTCACACAGGTTCATGTTCTTATTGTTTGCTTGAGCGTTTCTGATTTGTTGGGGGAAGAAAAGACCCTTGAGGTACGAAGTTGGGCTAACTACCCAGAGCCCAACTTTCCCAAGGTAACTCACTGCTTCAGGGTACTTTACCTTCGTGTGGGACTGGGTCTGGATGGAGCCGTATTCATATTTCTTCTTTCCGCTGCCTTATTAATATCTGAAAAGAATAATCAACCCATCTGTTCAATGCTATGGAATAAAAACAAGATCATCAGCACATTTCAAATGAAGCAACAACAAAAAATCGCAATGACAACCAGGTGGTGTAAGGAAATCCATTCAGCAGACACACTGTCACTTGGGCAATTTTTATTATGAAATTAAGGCAGTACATTGTCATGGCTTGGTAAGAAATGTCCCTCAGTTTTCTGGCTTACACATAACTTGTAAAATTGATTATTTTAATGCTTCAGCACTGTTAACCTCTAAACTTGACCCCCTCTCCCTCCAAAGGACATAATGGTTGTTTTTAAACTCTTGGAGAGTCAGCTGTAAGGTTCTTTTTGGGGGAAGAGCTGGGAAAGACAAGAGGGTTAAAAAAGAAACAGAGAAAAGGCAATTCATTTTCCTATGTTTACAAACAAGGAAGTTAACTACAATCCAGTGTCTTAAAACTTCCAATAGTCCGTAAGGTAGAGCCTTCTTTTATTATATCTTGTGTTGCACTCCACTGAATAGAATTTCCCAGAATGAGAGGCAAGAGAGAAATGGGTGATGATAATTTTTTAAAACAAAGACTGTAATTTGTTAATATCTACAACCCTCATAGAAAGGGGACTAAGAGTAAGATTTGCCACTTGCTACACCAGGGTAAGTAATAAAACACCTTTTATAACAAGTTCCCCTTTAGAGAAGCTTGGCATATATGGGAGAACAGCAGAATCACAAGCTTTATAGGAAAGCCAATTTGTATAGTTAAAGCATGTTTTCCTAAAAACAGAAGAACTCTGCTTTGCAAAAACTGAAGTGACTAATAAAAACACCATATAAAAGAAATGAGACAGCAGAGAAAGGTACAAAATCTATGCCCCAAAATAACACCTGACCCTTTTTATATGACTTAAATAGGTGCATTACAAAGCTCATACTTCAGTTCAGTGAAATAATTAAGACTGCTTCCTACTAGTTTAGTTCCCCCTTCTTCTATATTAAGCCCTTAATAATGTAGTGACATTAAATGGTATTAAACACACACATAATTAAGAGTGTTTTAGAATAATAATTATATATTTATAAAATTTCCAGTAATAACAAGAAACAGAAGTCTGGTATAGACTTCACCAAGTCCTATGATGCTGACTTTTGAGTTTCTAGTGAGAATAAGTGTCAATTTCATTTGCAATCAGAAGTCTCTGCAGTTGTTAAGTACCATGGAGTTGGTTCTAACTCACAGCGGCCGTGCACAAGGTTTCCAAGAGCAACTTCTGGGTTTGAGTCGCTGACCTTGTGGTTCGCAGTCCAGTGCTTATCCTACAGCACCACACCAGCAGTCCTATTATGAATTACATATTATGTACTGATAAGTCTTATAGGAAAAATCTAGCTATTTTAAGTATCTCTCAAATACATGGTGCGGGCTAGGGGGATTAAGATCTCTTACATAAGCACCATATCACTTAGCAGGAGTCCATATATTATTAAATGGTCTTGGGAATAAAAAAATCTTGGTATACGTTTTGGTTAGAATACAGGACACTGATAAGTTTCTATTAATGTGATAACTGGTTCACAACACAATAAAGGAATATTACAAAGTATAATTCTATCCAATTCTCTTGACGGCCTACATATGGGGGGTTTCAAAAAAAAAAAAAAAAAAACCAGTGGAAAAATTCCATTACCTTTTAATTTTACTTTCCCATGAACCTTCTGAAGGCCCCCCTTCATGTAGGATCAAAGTGGTCATTGTATACTTTTGGAGCAAAACTGTTTCTAATTGGAGTATAAGTATTTTAGTTTGAAGGTTGGTGAAGCATTTTTGCAGTAACTTGAAAGGTTAAAAATCATTTACGATGTTATCTTTAAGCCATTTTCATTATAATTTGCCTCAGTATATATTTTCATTGAGTAGGTCAAAGCAATTATATTTAGATGGCATAGCTTACTATTTGTTCCTTTTGCAAAAATGAGAACGCTTGGCCATTTTCTTAATTTTGTTGTTAAGTGCCGTCAAGTTGGTTCCAACTCACAGAGACCTTGCATAGAGCTTCCGAGAAATGGCTAGTGAGTTTGAAACACTGACCTTACAAAGTTAACAATCTAGTGATTACCCTATAGCGCCACATCAGGACTCCTTAATTTTAGGGGCAAACAAACTTTTACTGTGGTGCTGTAGGATAAGCACTGGACTGCTAACCTCAAGGTTCAAACCCACCAACTGCTCCTCAGAAATTCTATACAGGGTTGTTCCGAGTAGGAACCAACTTGACACTTAACAACAGGGCTGACAAAGGAGCTTTGGATTATACAGTTTAATCAGATTCTTTTCTTCTAAATCCTTATAAAGAGAAATACTTGTTCTGCACAGAAAAAGGAAAAACTGTTTCCCCATCCCCCCTCAGTATGTGGCGCTGTGGGTTAATGTGCCAGACTGCAAAGCCATTTGAACTGCAAGGTTAGCGGTTCAAGGTCAACAGCTGCTCCTCAGAAACCCTATAAAGGGTTGCTATAGGTCGGAACTGACTTGATGGCACTAACAGTACACTTTATCTGAAAGTGCAGTGGCTCTGTAGGATAAGTTCTTGTTGTTAAGTGCCACAGAATTGGTTCCAACCCATAGCAATCCTGTATAGGGTTTCCGGGGAGTGACTAGTGAGCTTGAACCGCCAACCATGAGGTTCAAACCAACACTGTAGTCCAATGCATTAACCCAAATTTAATCACAAGATTGGCGGTTTGTACACACCAGCTTCTCCGTGGGAGAAAGATGAGGGTTTCTGCTCCTGCATGGATGTTTTAAAGCCTTGGAAACCCTGGTACAGTGTGGCTATGAGTTGGAACCGACCTGACAGCACTTAACAACAACATACATTATCCAGGAAACTTGTGTGGTGCTGTAGGATAAAAACTAGGCACTGATATATAAGCACTGGACTGCTAACCACAAGGTTGGCAGTTTAAATCCACCAGCCACTTTGTGGGAGAAAGATGAGGCAGTCTCAGAAACTCTATAAAGGGTCGCTATGAACTGGAATTGACTCAAGGGCAACGGGTTTGGTTTAGTTTTAGTTCATACTTTATCCAAGGAACCCTTGTGGTACAGTGGCTAAGTATTAGGTAGTTAACCAAGAAGTTAGTGGTTCAAACCAAACAGCCTTGCTAAGGGAGAAAGATGGGGCTGTCTTCTCCCATAAAGATGTAGAGCCTTGGAAACCCTAAAGAACAGTTTTACTTCTTATCAGTGGAGAAAAGACTGAAGTTGTCTAGGACTTCATTTGTTCTTGGATCAATCATCAACACTCCGGACACAGCAGCCAAGAAATCAAACAGCGTATTGCATTAGGCGAATCTGCTGCACAAGACCGTTTTAAAGTGTTGAAGAACAAAGATGTCAGCTTGAGGACTAAGGTACGTCTGACCCAAGCCATGGTATTTTCAATAACCTCATATGCATGTAAAAGTTGAACAGTGAATAAAGAAGATCATAGAATAATTGATGCATTTGAATTATGGTGTTGGAGGAGAATATTGAAAGTACCATGGGCTGCCAAAAGAACCAACAGATCTGTGTTGGAAGAAGTACAGCTGGAGTGCTCCTTGGAGGCCAGGATGGCCAAACTTCGTCTCTCATACTTCGGACATATTGTCAGGGGGGACCAGTCACTGGAGACAGCTATCATGTTTGGTTAAGGTGGAGGGGTCAGGAAAAAAGAGGAAGACCCCCAACGAGATGGACTGGCAAAGTGGCAGCAGGACTGGGCAGTGTTTCGTTCTGTTGTACATAGGGTAGCTACCGATTCGATGGCACCTAACAACAACAACGGGGTTTACTACTCGACAACAGCTGGTATACTTTATTGTGGTCAACTGCCCTTAAGAGAGGAGTTCTGGTGTGGTGCTGCAGGATAAAGCACTGGACCAAAAGGTTGGTTTGAACCACAAGGTTGGTGGTTAAACTCAGCAGCCACTCCTTGGAAATCATACAGGGTTGCTATGAGTTGGAACCGACTTGACAGCACTTAACAACAACACTACCCCTAAGACCAAAAGTCACCTCAGTGTTTCTTCCATCTCAGCTTAGGTAGTACTTCTACGCTTTGCTAATTTTATAAGCAATTCAAAATCATCTTTAGCTCCATGGTGTGCTTAACTTTTGCATTATAATTTCCAAGCAGTCTTCTAAAAACAACAATAACAACTAATACTTTAAAGCACTTCTTAGTTAAGTACTTTTAGACTTTTTATAAAGGGAAACCCCCAGAAAATAATCAAGAAACCAATGATGCTGTATAGGAACTGGCAGAGCAGTTTTAAACCCCAAAGGAATGGGATGAAGAACTCCCAAAGAAAAATAATACTTAAGCTATAATTTATTTTAGACTAATATGCCAGACATGGTTCATTGTCCTTGGATAATTTATAAATAAGAATTCATGTTTCTTTCATAGTACCAAGAACTGCTTTGGGCCACCTATTTTAAAATTGTATCACCATAAAACCAATCTTTCCACCTTAAAACCAATTTTTACACTTCACAGAGCACTGAAAAACAATGAGGACTAAACTCTCAGGTGTAGTCTGTACCCCACACAACACTTATCTTAGAACCACCAGTGACTATGGAAGGAATCCAAAGGCTTAGTTTCAAAAACTGACTACAAATGACGTAAAACAAATTCCCCAAAAGGCTGAGTTAAAAACCAACTACCAGCTAGGAATTACTAATTGGAATTTTATGATGACAAAGATATTGCCACTTGGAGAAACATAGTGACAAGGCAAGTTATTATCACATATTAAGAAAAAAACATTAAACTGGAGGGGACATGACAGGACACTTCTCACGGAAACTTTTTGCATGAAGCCATCTTTGATATTGTAACATCAGGAACACTGCAATGTACTGTATTGTAATGAGTTAGGGATAAGAGAATGCTTGCAATTTTCTCAGCATTCTCTAAGTAAAATAATTAGAATGCTTATACTATCCCAGGGCCTGTACTAAGAACAATCCATACATTACCTTATGAAATTCTTTCTATAACTCTTAGAGACTTAAATATTGTTATGATTTTATTTTCTGAAAGAGGAAACTTGAGGCTTAAAGTAATTAAGTGATTATCTAAAGCCACAAGATTATCAAGAGGCTGAGCTGGTACTCAATAGAGAAGGAGGAGACATAGTTTCCATTTGGAACACTCATACAAGGACTTCCTGATCAAATGTTGACCAAACCTGGAAAAGGCTCAGTCTAGACTAGATATTCATTACTAGACTCCAAAATCTAAGTGCCCCTTGACACTCAATATGGTAGGGACCTACTTATTCAATTACCACTACAATTCTATCACCTTAAACTACAATGTTTGTGGTTTCTGTTACTGTCACTCTATTCACTTTAACTTTTCACACAAAAATACTCCATTCATATTTTATTTCCTGCCTTTTACTTCCTTTGATGAAAGAGCACTTGTCTTGGGAG